AGGCGTAATAAACATGCACCTACAGCGGGTCAATTAGTTCTTCAGATGTTACCTTTAAGTAAATATTATAGTTTTGTGATATTAATAATGTTAATAGATTGATATTTTTTAAATTTTGATTTAAGTTTGCTTGTTTAGCGTCATCACAGTTGCTAGGTGACATTGACGGACATACGCCGGGGTGGACGGGAGGCTAGACCGTCCAAATTCACAGCCTCTTTTATTACGGTCTTCCCGGTCTACCAAGGACCCGGCCCACCTCGACTGGGTAGTCTGGGTCTTCCAGAGGACCCAGCCTGTCGTTTTGGACACAGCATCTCTGCGTCTTTTTTACTTTTTTCCTCAGTTCCCCAGTATCTCTGTTTCACCTGCCCTGTATCTGTAAATAGACCATCAGTAATCACCTGTCCCAGCCTACYTATACTCCTGCTTCTCTTTGAGACGAGAACCAGGAGGACGCATATCTCACYACTTGTACTCCCTGCTGTTTTTGTATTTCTGGTATTATGTCGCTGCCCTGTCAGCTATTTGTTTAGTTGCTTGTRTTCGAGTCTGCATCCTTGGATCCAGGTTTATCATTTCCTGACAAGATCTGAGATCACTTCAGGTCYTTGAAATCATTGTTTTATAAAATCTACACATCCCATCTTCTTGTGTCGTTTTAGTTTTAGTTTAGTTAACGTTAGCTGTTAGCTACAAATTTGGTAAGTGTAACTTTAGCTGCTTTTAGGTCAGTTTTGCTTTTTTCCAAACCTTTAGCTATGGTTTTGCTACTTAAAACTACAGTTTTGCTAGATTTAACTATTATTAGTTTTACTGAGTTTAGCTTGTTCTGCCTAATTAAACTTTAACAACTGAGTTCATTTGTCAGCAAAATTCAGCAGGTATTCAGCTCTCTGCATTCACGCTGCTTAATCACATTTTTTTAAATGCTGCTTTTTGATCCATTCACGTGGATTGTTTTAGATGTGTGTCAATATTTTATTTTTTTATCTTCTTTTTTTATTTCACAAAGAAAACAATGAATACATTTTTAGCAAGCTGCTTACATAATGTTATGTAAACACAAAATAAACAAAACTGTCAAAAATATATCCAGTAGCTCGTTGAAACGTCTGTACATAAGCAGTTTTGTTTAAACAAAAAGGAGGAAAAAGAAGGAGGATTAGGTAACATATAAGTGGAAGAAAAACAGGTGTGCTTTGAACAAAAAACAGGTAAAATGAGTGGCAAGCTGAGAACAGAAAAAACGGACACCAGGGATCTGTGCTGAATAAATTAGGTTAAACTAAAAAAATATATATCAGCCTAAATGAATTTAAATAAGTTCATAACCACAGACTGACTTACAGCTGTGCAGAATAAATTCTCTCTGCTCTCCACTGAAGWGCTGTCCCTCCACGTCTCTTCTCTAGCTGCATATTTTTATGACATCATTGTCCCTGTGGGGGTTTARCAGCCTGACAGGCAGTGTAATGATGCTCTGTGGACGAGTCTTGACGAGCCTCGGAGCTGCTGGACACCAGTTTCTCACACTGCTGGAGAACGTCACTCATGAGCMTAGCCTCTCGTTTGACCTGTCACTTTTATTTTCCTAGAGGTGTATGTTTTTGCCTGTCTGCACCTTCATGATTGTTTATCCGCTGCATTATTTATTTCTTTCCTTTTCCTTGAAAGGTTTAGCGAAGCCCATGGGGCTGGTGGAGGGACCCGGAGGCCTTGGTCAGGGGGGAGCTGCTGCCACCCTGGGAGAAGACAGTCACGATGCTGAGGGGAAGTACGAGGAGTACGGCTACAAYGCTCAGCTCAGTGATCGCATCTCTCTCGACAGGAGCATCCCTGACTACAGGCCCAAGAAGTGCGTGAGACTTTCATTCGTCTTCATTTCATGTCAAACCGATTCTCCTTACRAGAACTTGTTTTTCTTCTTCTGGTGGGCATGTGCAGAATTTTAAAGACTAGTAACCAGCAGGAATACTTGTTAAAAAACCCCACTTTCCAATTTGTGATTGCAGAGAAAAACTGAAAAAAAAATGCAAAAGTTTGCATCAAGTACACTTTTCTTAACTATTTGTTTTCTTATTAGGTTTTAGGTGAATCTCCAAGATGCTTTTTTTCTGAAAATGCAGAATACACAAAATAAAACAGTAGGTTTGAAAATAAATCATTTATGAAAACTGTTTTTAACTTGTAATCTGATCAGAGGGTTATTCTGTAGCAAATGTGGAAGTTGTGATGTTTTTGCATGTCTTTATGTGTGTATGTGTCATGTAGGGGTTATGTATAAATGCAGTTACAAAAATGAATGGAAGTCAATACAAAGTTCTCAGTTTGATGAAAACAATAAAATGTGTGTGTGCAGGCAGGTATTCCCTCCAATGTGGGGACAAAAAGACCCATTTGTGTGGGCCACAACCTACTCATGGGACATCCCCATGAGGAGAAACACTGTTGGTGGGTCAGGGTCAGGTATGTACATGTGAAGTTTGGTTTAGGGTAAGAGGTCAGGGTTAGGCTGTAGAAATGGATAGAAGTCAATGAATAGTCACCATAGAGTGAGTGGTACTAGATTGTGCATGTGTGTGTGTCTGTGACCAAAATATTACACACAATTGAACAAACTTTTAATAAAAATTGCAGCAAGTAATCATTGGAAGAACATCAACAACTGATTACCTTTTACCCCGGATTTACACTATATGCGGCTCCGCTGCGCTGCGGTGTGCAGTTCGCAGCTGTTCGTTTGTGCCCCAATTTATACAGCGTCTRCTCAGCTCCGCTCCGGTGCGACACAAAGAGGAGGAAGCGTGTGCAGGACGGAGATCGCACAATAAATCCAGTGATACATTTTGCAGTCAGAGCAAAAAATAATGAATTCTGTGAAAAACAAACTCCAAACACAGCTTGAAACATAAATATAAAAGCTTTTGATATTTATGGTTGAAACTGTATCGCTGTCATCATTTTGAAACTTCTGATTTCAAAATAAAATCCAGGTGTATCGTGTGTGTACATATGCTTCATGCTACATGTTGCGATCTGCTTCCCAAACAGAACGATACATTCTGACAGCATTTGTGTAGAAAAGTATCCATATATTTATTAATACAGCTGGGATTTTGACAAAATTATGGTGTCTTTTTTTATTTTATTTTTTTAATATGGATGTTGTGTTTGTTTCTTTTCCTGTTGGATGTGATCTCTGTAGATTGACTCCGGAGCAGCTCTAGCATCCAGCAAAAATTGAATCGGATCTAATTTTGGCGGATTGCTGTCCGCTCACCGCTGCCGTGCGGAGACAGCATAAACACTCTCATTGATGGAGGTCGGACCGCAGCAGACTGGAGACACATCTAGTGTAAATTAGGGGTTAGAGCCAACCTAATTTAAAATGGCCACCAACACTGTTTTCTTCATAGGAACTCAAAAATTGCTTTAATCTAATTTTACAGATTCAGCGCATGTATTTAGGGTGACTATTGTCCAAGACATATTCTAAATTGTAGCAGACTGTTTAAGAACTTAAAATTTAAATTTAACTTAAGTTTTAAATTTTAAAACTTAAAATGTTGTCATTATCTAGCTGGTGTTAACTGTCTCTCTGTTAGCATAACGTCATAAACCAGTATACTCATTTTTATTAAATCTAAATAAAACTAATAATAATAATCAGGTGTACATCTACAACTGATTTACTTTTGGAGCCAGTCTAATTCAAGATGGATGCATCACCTTAGAAAACACCAAAAAACAATGACACAATCCTTTATTCAGCTATTTTACCAAACTAAATGTGGTTGTTATTGAAAGTCATCACCAAAGCATTCTTTATGTGCTACTCATTCAAAATTTTAGAGTTTAAAATCTGGCATCAGCTGTTGGAGTCAAATGATTTGGTCTGTTGGCATAACAGTATATATCTTATGAGTCATTGAATGGATTTATTTATAAGTCACATCTACAACTTATTCAAGATGGCCATTAAAACAAACTCACATTAGCCAACAGAAATATGACAATAACTCAGTCTGATCAACAGATATTGAGATAAATTTGACATTATAGTAGCTTAGTCATTTCCACCATTACTCTGAGTATGAGAGCTTGTGATATTGCATGATGTTCTAAATAACTGTTTTTAAATTTTGACCAAAACAAACACAACTTTCAACATAAAAACATTTTAGTTTAAGATAAAATATCATGATCCGTGTATTTTAGTTACCGTTTTATGGTTATTTGTGTTTTACATCAGTCTTAGTTTTGACTTTGAGATTTAATTGATCTGTTTCTTAAGATTTGTGTGTTTAGAACCTCTCCGTCTGTGTTTTTGTTCAGTATGTTGTAATTCTTGTTTAGCTTCTCTGTGTTCCCTGGGTCATTTCTCATTTCAGCCTCAGTCATTTTCTCAGTGTTTTTGCAGTTACTCACACCTGCTGCCAGTCTCCAATCAGCTCAGCTGCCTCCAATWTCTCATCAGCCTAGATCTGTTTAGTCAGTCCTTACATCTTCACCTGGGGTCTCATTTATAAAGGATTGCGTGGAAACCATACTAAAAGTGAACGTACGGCCAAAAGGCGGAAATTGCGTACGCCAAAAAAAATTCAGATTTATAAAACCATACGTACGCACKTTTCTGCGCATCTTTCCTTTATAAATCACAGCTGCACGTCAGAGTTTGCGCACGAGGTCCCGCCTCAGGTTCTACCCTCTACACGCCCACACGGGATGCGTGCGTGCGAGCGTGTGTGTGTGCATGCATGCGCGCGCGGGGCGGGGGTCTGCCGCAGGTAACAGAGCAGGCAGGAGGGGGAGAGGACGAGGAGAAGAGCGGGGGACTTATTTCTAATTTTACCTGACTTATTTAATTTAATTTATTGTTTTTATCGTCCTGCAGGCTCTGATGGGAGGTTGAATTGAAGCTGAGGTTTTTTATTTTTGTTTTTTATAAAAATCGTTAGATTACTCTAAATCAAAATGAGGGAAAATCTGTGTCAATTACAGACATTATGTTCACGTGTCAGTCAGCACCTGTCATCCTCCAGACACACGACGGAGCRTGTCTGAACCAATCACTTTTGTTGACATTGATCAGCTGACTGATTTAAATACATCTTAACATTCATGAGGTACTTTACATTGACTGTTTATGGTTGAGTGTGGGCGTGTAGAGGGTAGAACCTGAGGCGGGACCTCGTGCGCAAACTCTGACGTGCGGCTGTGATTTATAAAGGAAAGATGCGCAGAAACGTGCGTACGTATGGTTTTATAAATCTGAATTTTTTTTGGCGTACGCCATTTCCGCCTTTTGGCCGTACGTTCACTTTTAGTATGGTTTCCACGCAATCCTTTATAAATGAGACCCCAGAACATGTTCACGTGAATTTCGTACATTTTCTAAAAATGGTTAATTTTAGCTACTACGGTCAGGGACAGGATGTCTAAAGTGAACAAAGGTAATTTCAGGCTTTGGAACGGTCGTTTTTGCGCATTTTATACACTTTCTGAAAATATGACAACAGCTTCCGCCCCATCTCGTCAGTAACTGACGTGACGGGGGTACCCTGCGCGTCAAAATCGGACGTACAGGGAACCTTGCCAAAGCGTCACTATGTGACGACTTGGGAGTGAGAATGGGTTGGAATGTCACATGATTGATATGCATGACCGATTTTAAATCACTGTAGCTGGAAAGACACAGCCTCTCTGACACATTTATTGCATTTTTTGTCAAAAGTAGAGGCTTTAAAATATACACTAGTTGTTAAATTGTGTTGATAGGCCAAGTAAAACCAGAGAGGCAAGAGTGGGACTGTATGATTAGATGATCTTTAGTGTGTTTGTATTTTATAATTGGGGGACGTTTAATGTGTTTGGTCAGTTTTAGTGTGCTTGAATCAAAATATTGAGGCGATTTTTGAATGCTCCGATTTTACGTCAAACTAATACGTCAGCCGCCTCCTATAACATGGTCACATGTCACGGCTGTCCGACTTTGAGAAATCTGGGTCCCATCCACACACTGATCTTTCTCACTGGCATGAAATGAGACACAAAATATACTGTACATTCCTTCATAGAATTCCAGGYCTTTAATACGCACAGTATATGTAAAAGACTAAAATATGTAGTATAAAAAATTATAATTGTACAAAACTTGCATCAGCAGTGTGGGAAAATCTGAATGTAAAAATGGTAGTTTGCTCTCAGTGAAAACACAAAGTGAGAGTTTGGTGAAATCTGCTGCTGGATGGATGTTTTTGAATTGATGCTACAAGACGTGCAAACATGGTTTCTACCTAAACTGAACGTAAAGTGCTGCAGTTTCTGGACTTGTTCTAAGAAACAGAACCTGGTTTTGAATAGCTGATGAGATGTCTGCTGTGCAACATTTATCAAAGACTGCTTCACACCCGTTACATGAAGAAGAAAAAAAGTAAAATCCTTTCCTAGGAATGAGCTGGATTATAATAGGATATTTTATGGTTAGCCTTGTATTTAATAAGGTGAATTTTACAATAAATGGTCTCAGTATCTGCAGTAAAGATTGTGTATAGGACAGGAKAGCTACAATGTGTATGTGTGTAGTAGTAAATGTCAGCTTTCCATCTGCGCTCCTTATTTGCAGGCGATCACATCCACCTGCACGCAGCGAGTCTCAGTCAGATCACATCGAATCAAATCAAATCAAATCAAAGCAAACTGTTGTGTTGTTCTTTCTTATTGACAACCTCCTTAACACCCCACTGATCCCCCTCATAAATTTCCATCTGTTTCATGACTGGGACTCATGCATGCTGAAAAGCCCTCGGAGAGCCACCCCCCACCGCCCCCTCCCTCAGTTCATTACTGTTCATC